TGTTTCCGACCTTCCCTCTCCGGAACTCATTCATATCCGCCGTTCATACAGATAATTTGAAGCAATGTAGTCTACAGTTGTATTTTCAATTTTTCAATACAACCTTTAAAAGTAGAAAATATTTTATTGGTTTCCGAAGTAAGTTTCCCAAAAACAAAACAAGAAAAAGAAGAAATCATGTCATATTCCACACTTCTTAACGCCTGCATAAAAATATTCCAAGTAACTTAGGATATATATTTTTATCAGTACCGGTCGCTAATTTGCGTTTACAGTACACTATATGCAAAGTTTTTTTTGTGGTCAAACCAGTTTTATGAGTTTTTATTTGTATCTATAATTATAATAGCTAAACTCGCAATTCCTTTTGACTTATTTTCATCGTATTGAATTACAACCTTAAGTCACGTAGGCATATCATTAATTATGTGAATTACGTCTGGTCAATCATAATTTGAATTATTTATTTTTGTTGTATTGCACTTACACAATGAAATCTTATTCATAAAAAATTAATGTCAATTAGTTAATTAGTCAATTAGTTAAACAAATAAATTCGCAATAAGCTGTTATGACGTAAGCAGCAATCATTCGGCCACAAACTATTTGTGCAGTAATTGATCCGATGCGGGATATGTGTCACGCTATCTATTGATGTATTGATAAGTGCGCACTGGGTGCGACGCGACGCTTTGATATCAGCGCACAAGGTAAAGACCCCAGTAATTGACTCTACAATTACCTCTGGTTAGGTTTCTGCGAAATAATTTACCTTTAAGGAAACTTGCATTGAATATCAAGTACAAGTACAGTGTCAAAAACTGGTGTTTTTACCCTACAGTATAGTAGATTGTGGTATGAATGTCTGCGACCCTTGTGGACGTCTCATCAGCTCTATTTACATAACAACGCCGTGCCGCCGCCGACGCGCTAACTCTGCGTTTATTCAATTGAATATCCAATGCGATGAATGGTAAGACACTCGGTACCTTTAGTGAAGGAAGCTAAAATCCTCGTAAACGTCATATGAGACGCCTTTTTACGCTTCTCTTATCTGTACATAGTACGGCTAAAAAAGTGTTTCTCTTCCCATAACTAATACGTGATGATATTTAAATGCAGAAACATTGGATAACGATTTTAAAAATTACTCTCAAGATTTGACCCCATAAAGTCGCACGGCTATCCAGTTTCTTTCCCGCAACATTTAGTTTTACTTTACTTTCTAATTAATACTATGGTCTATTTTTTATGTAAACAAAACATTCGATACGATTTGTTGATACAAATTTTTTCTTGTAAAATAGTTTGCAACGTACGAATAGTTGGTTCGTAGACGTTTGCGCACTCTACTATTGGTTTCGTATTTAGAGTCGAAACTTGCCAGATATGGTGTACAAAAATTCCAAGAGTGTTAGTCATACACATAGCACGTACAAAACATACGTCGTGTG